TAAGCGGTGACTGTCTGTCCGTCCGTCCGTCCGTCCGTCCGTCTGTCCGTCTGTGCACACGATAACTCGAGTAAAAATTGAGATATCGTAACGAAACTTGGTACGTGGACTTCTTTTGGGCATAGGACGGATGGTATTGAAAATGGGCGAAATCGGACAATAACCACGCCTACCTCCCATATAACGGTAATTTTCAGAAATACGAAAAGTGCGATATTTTAGTAACTACTGAAGATAATTCACTCAAAATTGATATTTACAATGAGTTTTAGACGAAAAATGAGAATATTAAAAAATTTTGGCAAATGGGCGTAGTCACGCCTACTTATGGTTACATATGTATATCTTGGTAACCGCTGCACCAATTTCTTCCAAACTTGGCACAGTTGTTGGTCCTGCTACAACATACCAAATGGCCGAAAATTTTTAAAATCGGACAATAACCACGCCCACATCCCATATAACGGTAATTTAGAAAAATACGAAATCCTCGATAAATCAGTAAATATTAAAGCTAATTTATTCAAAATTGATGGTTGCAACAATTTTTTACCAAGAAATACGCTTATGATACAATTTTGGAAAATGGGCGTGGCACCGCCCACTTATGATCACATATATGTATCTCGCTAACCGTTCTAGCAATTTGAACCAAACTCGGTATGGTTATTATGCTTGCCACATAAAAGCAAAGCGTTGAAAATTATTGAAATCGGACTAAAATTACGACCGCTTTTCATATAACGGTATATTTCAGAAATGCTTGAAACTGCAATATTTCGAAATTTAAGGACGCTAATTTACTTAAAATTTATACACCCCGGCTTATCGTGTAGCGGTAGCTTTCGGAAAGGTGGAAAACATATATTTAATAATTGCGCCGGGTATTTAATGTTCGGCTCCGCCCGAACTTAGACTTTCTTACTTGTTATGTTTAATCTTTATGAAAGTTACATGTATCGTCGAGAACATGGTTATATGCAGAATTTTAAATTAAATAATATTATTCACCACACAAAATGTACGAGTATTGCTTTATTAAATGCAAACTTATGCGAAAATGTAAATATTTCGCAAACATGGGGTTAATGGTTTCGCGCACGTGCCAATCTGGTGCCGATTCGCAGAAATTGAATAATTTGTGTAGATGGAAGCGGCGAGGGGAAGACGAAAGCAGAACAATCGTATATATGTTTGTACATATGTACATTTATAAATGCATACATACTTACATTTTCATTTGTTTGGCTTTTTGGATGCATGAAAAATTTGGTAGCAGAAATAGGTAATGAAATGAAGTTTACAAATATGTGCTTTATAAATTTAGGTTTATTAATTAATTATTAGATATGTAAGTGACAATGTGGGGGACAAATATGTACATGAGTAGCGAAGCTGCCACCCATCCAATGGCAACTTCTTGCACCACTTTATTAGAAAAGATTTGAAAACTGCATTATTTCCATAAATATTGAAAACATTGAAAAATTTCTTAAATATTTTCGGCTTAGATTAGCGAGATTTTTACTAATTGTTGGTTAAATCCGACGTTTTCAGATTATTAGTATTTTTAAAAAAAGTTTCCAAGTCGAAAACAATTAAAAACTGAATTATTTCCATAAATATCGAAAATATGGAAAAAAATTCATACAGACTTTCGACTTAGTTTTGTGAGATCTCTACAAAAAAAAAAGGAAAATAATTCTTTTCACAAGTTTTATTTTTTAGTCCAATACCAATACAGTTTTTTACTTGAAAATAACACAAAAATTGGAAAATGTTATATAATATTTTCGATTTATTTTAACGTTGTGTGTACAAATCACCGAGAAGAAATTATTTTTTACCCTAAAAACTCTATTTACAAAAAAAATCTAATACCAATAAAGTTTTATAATTGAAAATCTAACAAAATATTACAAAAATCAAAAAATGCTATATAACATTTTCGATTTATTTTCACGATATTTGTGGAAATCACCGGGGAAAAGGATTTTGTTTATAAAAAATATTTTCACAAAAAAACACAAACACATGGGACTTTTCTATTTGCAATTATTAATAAAATATCACAAAAATCGGGAATGTTATATACTATTTTCGATTTAATTTCATGTTACTTGTACAAATCATTGAACAAAAATTTAATTTCTTTTACTTGGGTTTTCTATTTGAAAATTTTCCCAAAATATCACAAAAATCTTCAATATTCATGTTTAATTAACATTCCAAATGCTCTCGTGAGATTTAGCTCTGTTAACATTCTTCTTTTCTGCTTTGTATTTTGCTTTCGCTGTTAAGTATTCCAAATATTTGTCGCTCTTAAAATGCGCTTCGCCAGTTTAGTTGGCTCGAAAAATGTGGCATTCACAGTTCTTGGACCTTCTCTATAAATATACGTTCTCTGCATACACAAACAAGATATACATATAATCCGAATAAACATTTTTGTTAAATATTAATTTTAGATACATTTGAGAATCAGTACTTCTCTCAAATCTCATACGTTAGTTCTCTGATGAATCTCAAATAACCGTTGATAGCATTCTCAAACCAAAAAGGCTAATTTTTAACTGCCGTCCTTAAATTTAAGCGCTAAGCGTTGCGTTTTCCAGTGCCAACGAATGCCAGCGCGCGCTATACCCAAATCAACGCTGTGTAATTTTTGACGTTTTCTCATTTCCTCTTTCACTTTTGCCCTCTCTCTTTCATTCCGTCTTCTGCATCCAACGAACGAAATGAAATCCAGTTATTCTAATTGATATATCTGTATAGTGCTGCTTCAAAGTCGAAATAAAGTCGACTATATTGACAGCATTCGACTTTTTTGACAGATATTCTATTAAAACTTATGTCAAAAAGCTGCCCCAACTCTTAAAAAAATGCATTTATTGGAAAAATGTTCCGCATTTTTCTCCGATTCGGGATTTACATATTCAGCCAAATTATGAATACTCCCAGGGTTTTTGTTCTCCGGGAATTGGTTTCTCGAGAGAAAGGAATGCTCCAATAATTAACTCCCAGGGAGTATAAGTTTCCCCGAAAATTTGGGAGGAGGTAATTCGAACTTCGAAAGAGCTGTTTGACACTTTTTTGACAGTTCAACTTCGCAATTTAATATAAAAAATTCTCAGAGAATTTTTATTCATAATAGGAGGAAAGGGAAAAGAAAGAAAACTCCCAGGGAATCGGCCTGATTGTGAACTTTTCGCCACAAAAATGTTAAAATATTGCACTTTCAAAACCGCATAAGCCTTTTTATTATACATTACACATCAATAATTTTTTTTAACATACAATTTTTTCATTTCAAGTAAACAAATTGTTGGTCACTATCGATGCAGCAGACTATTTTTTTCTTTCGTTAGTAAATTTTAATAACCAGTCAGTAGGTTATGTCGGCCACAAAACGATCAATCACAAAATGATGTTATGAAAAAAATTTCACACCAAAAAAAATTCAATGCATTTCATTTCACTCAAATGAGAAGCGATTTTCCGACAGACAAATCGCGAATAACAGCGACCGCGTGGTCGAGGATCCATTTTTCGACTGATATAGCAGACCACCGATAGACTGTGCATGTTGACAAAGATGGAACGGAATGAAATGCTACAAAATATTTTTTTTTTTTCAAATACTTCTCAAATCGTTCTTAAGTTGATAAACAATGTTTGATAAAATTTTGAGAAAGTGTTTAGTTTCAAATTATAAACAATGCTGAAAATCAAATTGAGAAACAAGAATTTCTCAATCGTTTAAAAATTATTTTCCAGTTTTAATTGGGAATAAACTGTTTTTATTTTTTTGCAAATTATAAACAATGCTGAAAATCAAATTGAGAAATAAGATTTTCTCAAGCGTTTGAACATTATTTTCCAGTTTTAGTTGGGAATAAACTGTTTTTATTTTTTTTTTTGTTGCCTATAAATGCCCATATCATCATATAAATATAATGAGTTTTTCTATTTTCAAATTAAGGTATAGGTTATTTACCAGTAAATTATTAAAGTATTAAGAAATTAAAGATTTAAGGGCGTTTGCGCGTTGGCAATGGCTAATACCGCAAAAGATTCAACGATGAGCTGTATGGGCTTTACAACGATATTATCATAGTGCAGCGAATTAAAATTCAGCGGCTCCGCTGGCTTGGCCATGCCTCCTCTGAAAGTATTAAACGCGGGTCGCGACGCTGGTAACAGAGGAAGAGAAAGGCCTTCTCTGCGCTGGAAAAACCAGGTGGAGAAGTACTTGGCTTCAGTTGGCGCAGAAGAGAAATGAGTGGCGTGCTATTTCGAACTCGGCCAAAATCGCTTATGCGGTTATAGCGTTAATCCAGAAGATGAAGGATAAAGTTTTTATTTCTCATGCTCTGGTGTAGTAGGCGTTGTAATTTTCCATTCTATGCCATTTTTAACCGACTTCCAAAAAAGGAGGAGGTTATCAGTTCGTCGGATTATTTTTTTATTTTTATTTTTTTTTTATGTATGTTACCGCATAACTTTGCACCACGTCAACCAATAATTCTTTTTGCAACGGAAAGGTAGTGTCTCAGAGGTGGTCCCATACTAATTTGGTTTAGATCCGATCATTGGATCATGAAATATATAGATATATATATATTTTTTTTAAGTCGGTTTTTTTTTGCTAAAAATTACTTGCTAATATTTGTCGACCAGTGGGGACCTTCTACTGTGCGGCGCCCTCTAAACACAAGCGCACCAGACAACCGCACGGGCCACTTTACTTTACAGTATATCGGTCTAACGAAAAATTTGTTTGATAAGAGAAGAATCAAATTAGAGAACAGAGATGAACACAAGCGCGTTTAGTCATAGCTGCTTAGCTCATTAAGTGTTGTTTAAATTAATGCTTCGGATTCAAAGGATTTGCTACTTTCTCTATGATTGGCGAATCGAAAAGAGCTATTATTTTATAATATCTTTTTGTATTTAAGTTTAAAGAATGTGACGAGCAATTCATTGGAACTCAATCTGAGATAACTTAAGATGAAATATAAATCTTAATGAAGTATATGTACTATGTACATCCATATGTAAGTAAGTATGTATGTACTTATCAACTTTTTATTATCCACATAATCCTTTCACAAATAACCAAAAGTTGCTCATACGCCCCAGATAACAACGACGAGATATGCGCTACGCTCTCTAAAGCTTACCAAATAAATACTTTAGTATTATTACTACATACTTGCAACTAAGCTTTCTCTCAGCACTGAAAGCAAAGGCTAACGGTATGCAGAGGTATTCCACCTCGACTCTACTACTGCCTCCCACACACAGCCTCTAATGAAAGCACAAGCAAGCAGCAACTCGTTACTTCGAGAAGCGATCACACATGTACATGCATATATAAATATGTATGTTTGTACAAGTGTTTGTAGTTGAGCGCCGATCGGTAAATTAACTCGCTACTGGATTAAAATACGGCGTTTTGAGGTGCATAGCGTTTAATAGTCCGTCAACCGTTCAACGGTACAGCGGAGCAACGAAGCTGGCGCGCGCGTAAAATAAGCGAATACTTAAGTAAAGTGTGTTGATCTCGATAACAAAAAATAAATAAAAGCTTATAAGAATACAAAAATACAAATAACAGCAGCAAATAAATGACAGTAATGGTGATAGAGTCTAGCGTGCGATCAAATCCAAGCATTGTGGGGCTGAATTAAAATTAAGCGCAGCACAGCATTTATTTATTGTCAAAAAAGGCAAAGAGCGCCATAAACAGTCGCAAAAATTTATAATTTAATTAAAAAGCGAGACATTTTCGGTTAATCCGTGAGCTGCGGGCACTTTTTGTGTCTAAAACGCAAAACAAATATTGCGAATGAATAGAAAAAAAGTTAGAATTTTAGTACGAGAAAATTTAGAAAATTTATAATGGAAAAAACGATATTTAAGAAATAAATAAAAGAAACGAATAAGTGGCGCTGCAAATTTGAGTTTACACAAGTGCTTCTGCAAAATATTATAAGAAAACTTGAACTTGCCCTATGTTAAAGTGAATAGTAGTGTGTAGTAAACGACAAAATCTTTATTTTAACTACATTTAGAGCAAAGTGAAAAGTGTAAAGTAAATAAATACTGCTGTTTATACACATTTTTTGTTTGTGTTGTTTTATAAATTATCACTTTCCTATTTGCCGCAAAAGTACTTTTGTTTAAGCCCCGCTTTTGTTGGGAGATCGTAGTGATTTTTTGCTCCTTCAAGTGTTTTGACTATAACCAAAAATGTCTTCGTCTACGCGTGCGCAAATGTGCTTAGTCATTTTTGTTTGCTTCCTCTGTGGAAAGGTGCAGTTTTCGCATGCAGCAACTGAATATAATCGTTACTTGGCGCATATTTTTCAAAAATATGGCACAGGTGGCACAATTTCATTCGAGGTGAGTGGGAAATGAGAATTTGAAACATAAAATTTTTACGCCTTCGTTTAGCGATTGTACCGAACCAATTTCCAAACCAAGAACACATTGCAAAAAAAATTGTTGTGTAGATGTTTTTGTAGGAGAGTTTTTAGGGTTTCAAAGACAAAAAAGTTAAGGAAAAATTGAAAATAAAGGCGAAAATGAAAATAGTGGAAAATAAAGTAACTGAAAGGGTAAGAAAATTTATTGAAATTTGTCGATAGGTTTCGAAATAAATTCAATCAAAAAAGATTCTGTTATCGAAAGTTACTGAAATTTATCCAATCATCGAACTTTATAGTTATCAATGTTTATTGAGTTATCGCAACGTATCGAGTTTTTTAAATTAATCAATGTTTATTGAGTTGTCGAAATTTATGGGCACAGAAACTTAGTTGTCGAAATTTACGTATTGTTACCGAGCTATAAAAATTTACGGGATTATCGAAATTTATTAAGTTAATGAAATTTACCAAGTTATGCATATTAATTGAATTATCGTTATTTATAGAGTAAACGAAATTTATCGAGAATCATCGATATTTATTGATTTACTGAAATTTATCAATTTGTCGAATCGAAGTTTTTTAATTTTCTAAATAGATCGAGCTATCGAAATTTCAAGATTATATAAGTTTATCGAGTTATTATCGAATTTTATCGTGTTACCTGAGTGTAACGAGTTAGCGAAATTTGCCTATGGCTCTCGAGAAATATAGAGCTATCAAAATTAAATGAGTTATCGAAGTTTATACAGTATCCAAAGCTTATCGAGTTATCGATTTATATCGAGATGTATTTCCATTTTTGTGTTATCGAAATTTATCGAGCCCTTGAGACTCACAATTAATGAAATTTATCGAAATTAGTTATCAGATTTTGTTGAGTTATCGGATTTTAGTGGTTTATCGGTACATTCCGTATCTGGTCAATTCCAAATCCAGCCAAGGTCCTCCAAAGACCTTCAAAGGTACTAAGAAAAATTGTAGTCACGTTTTACTCCAAATCAGGAGACTTTCGGGTAAGTCATTTTGTTTCTATAAGTTAAACGACGTGATAAGTTATAAAACCGCTCCAAGGGTCTTAAAAACTGGGAAAAACGGTGTAATTTCGACAGTAACTGGCACTCCTAGTTTTAAGTAATGGATAAGCGAATCGAAATCAAGTGCGCTCGTACAATAACTTAACCATTGCATTTTTTTCTTACCAACTCCTTAATAAGCGCATCTCTCAGTTTAGCCATAAGCATTCTGTTTGCTTCCAACACATCCGCTAGGTCCGATGATGCCCAATTTATCTTCCTGGCTTAGGCTTAGGAGATATCTCGAGCTTCAACTTCTTTGTTTCACTTGTAGCTCCGTGTTTGCCAATGTGAGCCAATATGGCCCTGTGTCCATCCACAGAAATATCAACAGACGTGGTTCGCTGGGCGGTGGTCAAAGGAACTAGCCTTTGAACTTCCCGTACTATGACCTAAGGCGACATTACTTTAGGTGAGTGCGATTACACCAGCTGTGTGCCCTCGTAGTTGGTTTTCTCTGCCGTAAAGCAGCTCGTGCGGTAGTTCAAGCTAAACAAATTAGAAAATGTGTTTTCAAAAATTTTAACCTTCAATAGGATAATAAAAAAAAACTAAAAGCGCAGATTTCCTACAATTGAGCTCCACTAGTGCAAAATTTTTATTTTGGGAAGTATTATAGCACGCTGCGGTGATCTCAGTACAACTCTTTATTCCAAAGTTTGTAAGTAATAAAACTTTATAAATACATACGTTTTTTATATCGAAATTAAAAAAATTACGAAAGCATACATATCGTATATCGCAAAAACAAGCTTAAACCACTTTAATTTATGCCCTCAAATGAATATTAAAGCAAAATATGAACAAACGCAAAATCGCTAAATGCACTGAGCCGTGATAACATGTGTGTTTACAATACAATGTTACCGGTATAATTACTGGCAATTACAGTGTCACAGTGCACATACAAAAATTCTTATTAATCTTTTGCTTTAAGTTTGAAAGAGATAACATGTTGAACAACATCTGATGAGTTTACCTTTCTGCTTTTAGTTTATTTGATTAAAATCTTACTTTTTTATTTTCATGCAATCGCCAAAAAAATGCAACCTCCTGAACAGGTACACAGCTGAGGGGTCATACATACTACCCGATTGAAAATTTCGGGAGCTAAAATATCTCCCAAAAGGCCTTTCTGAAAGTCATTCCTTTCCCTTTTCTTTTTTGTATGGAGTGACACAAATCGTAGGGCTTCTGATTTCGCTTTTGTAATACGCTCTTTAGAAAGCCTTTTGGAGTAGTTTTTTTTTGAACTGTTTTAATTCATAAAAAAATCATAATCATGTAAGGCACTTTTTCAGCCCTTTTTGGGTAAGTCCTTTAGAGCGGTTTCACTAAAGATAGCCTATCTAAATCTTCTAGTTATGCATATACAAAATAGCAGAAATGATCAAGAAGCGCATTGTTCTCAAAGAGAGAAATGTTAGCAAAAGTACGCGAACGCAAAACCAGCAAAAACTTGCAAGTTTTTAATACAGCCGATCGAAATTTTGTTTACATACAAAAGCACAAAACAGAAAACATGGAAAGAATATAAATTTAATTATATCAGAAAAATGAAATGCCAGAATCGAAGCAACTGTACTTATGAGAAATGTATGGGTACCATATTCCCTTGTATCTTCGTCTTTGATTTGGATGATAAATGTCCTGGTCGACGGGTTCAGGCTTGTGACAGCCCTAGCCTACATTGCCATTTAGAATGAACTATCGCTTTAAAGTTAGACGAAGACGAAGACTCAAGATGAAGACGAATACGAAAACAAATACGAAGAATAATATAAATAGGAATAGGAATAGGAAGACGAAGACGAAGACGAAGACAAAGGCGAAGACGAAGACGAAGGCGAAGGTGAAAACGAAGACAAGGACGACTATGAATGCAAAACTGTAGACGAAAACGAATACGAAGGCGAACATGGAGATGGAGATTAATACGAATGCGAAAGAGAAAACGAAGTCACACTCGAAAACGACTGCAAAGCCGAATACGAAAACGAAAATATAGCAGAAGAAGAAGATGAATACAAATATGAATACGAAGGTGAATGCAAAGACCAGGAGGAATATGAAGTCGAATACGAAGGAATATGAAGTTGAATATGTACACAAATATTTATTAAGTGTAATAAAAATGTTTGCAATATGAACTAACTATGACTATTGGGACATAGTAGGCTCTGATAAAATATTAGAAGGCGTTCGTAGCTTTCGATAGAAGAGAAATGGAGTGACGAATTCTATGAGCTTCATAATAACTTGGACAAAACGATCTGTCTAAACTTGGAGTGGGAAACTGGCGTACCTTCGCTAAGGAGAAAGGCAATTAGCGATTTTTTTTTGTTTCTTTATAGATCCAGGCGAGAAAACAGTTGTAGTTCCAAATAGGGAAAAGAGGGCGAAGTGTATTTATAAGCGTAATTTTTTTACCTAAAAATTATTTTTTCCAGTTTTGTAAAGGAAATGTATATACATATACAATTCTTAAACCAGAAAGGCTTAATTTATTTGAGCTAAAAATAACATTTTAAAAAGTTAATACATTAATGCACAATATTGTCACGTTAAATTTCAATTTCATTGTGCACTTAAATATTTGCACGTTTATATGCACTCGTATATATTTACATACATACATACCTATGTAAAACACTTGTCATACTTCCTTCATGAAATTTCTTTTTAAATCCGGCAGGTTTATTCTACATGTGTACTTAGATACATATGTATGTATGTATACATATATACTAGACCATACCACCTTACAAGTAAGCAAAAAAATTTCGCCGTACAAACCTGAGTCTAAAGTATTTCTGCAAGAAAATTTCGAAAAGAAACATTTTTTTTTGCCGAATCTAGTGGACGACTTTTTACATTTTTCGGTGGCACCCACGTTCGGCAACAAAAATTTTTTTTCTGAAATATCTCCAGTCGAATAATCGAAATACTTTCTTAGCAAAATTTGAATTATTTTTGGTTAGCTTTAATTTAGTGACTTTAGGGTGGTACGTTAGGGTGATAAGAACTGAAGAACTGATATATGGTGGGAAAATACTAGAACGGGGTACTTGAGGTCAATGCTTTTTGAAAAAAAAAAAAAATAATTCTTTTGAAGATAAAAATATCGATACATCATACTTTAAGATCCTACTTTAAATGCCGAAGATATAACGAAAAATGTAAAATCGACCACAAATAATTGACATTTAAGAAAGTGTGAACAAGACATCGAAAACCACAGAAAATATTTTGAGACATAATGCAAAATTATGAGAACATAAAATTATGAAACATAAAATTTTGATGGGTTCATTACAAAATAAATTTTTTTCTCGAAGTTGTTTTTAGAAAAAATGTTGCCTTTTCATTGCCCTTTTCTTAGTATTTGTGCGTAGATGGCACTCAGAAGGAAAAATTTTACGGTAGAAAAGAAAACGTCATAAAATATATTCGACACAGGGGTGTACGGCAAACTTTTTTGTCTGCTACAATCTAATGCACATACACACATGTACTTTAGTGAGTTTCGGTCTTCATACACAAGAACAAATACAGTAATTACCCCTTTGAAACCCTACGATTTTGGTACAGTAAAAAGCTTTCACCTTAGCCACGCCTCTAAAGCAGACAAAATGGTTATTTCTTTAGAACGTGTAATAAACCATTGAAAACATATGTATGTAGATATGTACGAGTACATTTGATAGCTATGAAACCAAAATCCTCCTGATGTAGGCTTTCAAACTAGCGGAGGGCGTTTATAAATTTGTTCTCATGTTCCAGTCTAATGTAGCTTAGCAAGTGCAACACGAGCATATAGTCAATGGCTTCTAGACAGGTCAACTATCCGCTGTAGTGTTGACTATCTAGCCACGTACGTACATACATATGTAGTATA